GAAATCTCCGTGGCCTCCTCTTATCTTGTGTCAGTCTCAGGGACTAAGGCTCTCCTTTATATGTCCTCACTCAGAGACCCCAAGACCTTGCTGATCTTCCCAAAGAGGAGAAGGCAGGCCCTAGACCACACAAGGGCTCTAAAGCTTTGCTTTGGAAGCACACATGTAAATTTGGGCTTATTCTAATGGCCAGGGTAAGGCAAATTGCCCACCTCAGTCAGAGGAGGAGGTGGAAATGGCCAGCCTTTTGTATTTGCACTCTGCATCTGTGGATTCAACCAAAGATTGGTGCAATGTGTTTTTTAAAGATTATGTCTGTGATGAACATGCACAGACATTTCTTTCTTTCTTGACTCCCCACATGAAGCACTATAATAACTACTTTTATAGTATCTGTATTCTATTCAGTTTTACAAGTAATCTAGTGACGATTTAAAGTGTTCAGGAGAATACACATGGGTAACATGCAAATAATATACCATTTTTAAAAGGACTTGAGCATTGGATTTTAGTATCCACAGGGGTCTTGAAACCAATCCTTCACAAAGAGAAAGAGGTGATTATAATTCTTTATTTTTCTTTTGGCAGTATTGAGGACTGAATGTTCTAAGGCCTTCTCATTGAACTACACCTCCAGTCCTTTCTATGTTTTTTTTTAAATTTTGAGTTGGGGGTCTCACAAAATTGGCAGGCAGAGCTCAGACTTGCAATCCTCCTGCCTCAGCCTCCCAAAGTGCTGAGATTAGAGGCTTTATACTTCCTTGTGTTCTCCTTTCACTGTCCTTACATCTTTCCATCCACGCCTCAGAGCTAAACGTACAACTCAGAGGCCCTGCTGACATCTAATAAGCGTGGGCTAATGAATCACAAGATCTCACCACCACCTGCTCCCTGGGTCTTAAGGGAAAATACGGGCCTGCACTGAATATGTGGTCATCCCCTTTCCTATTAATTTCCCAAGCTCATCTGTGGGTTGTGCTCTCTGTGCCACTGAGGTGACACAACCATGACTGATGGCACTCTCATGGCAAGGAGTTTATTCTGCAGCACAGGAAAGGTCATATTTTTTCCTGTAAAGCTCTTACAAATCATTCTCATGCATTTGGAGCAGGACTGTTGTGACACGAGGGAAATAAATGTCATTCCATACAAAGAGTTGAAATTTGTAAATGGCAAGAGTATAGATTTATATATATATATATATTTTTTTTTTTTATTTTATATATATATATATATATATATATATATATATATAAAATATTCCATTTAGAGATTCTGGTGTGAATACAGAACTTTAACAATTAAGTTTCTGGCTTTCTCTAAAATAAAAGTAGATTGCTGACAGAGGAATAATAACCAGTAAATTAAAGAAATTTAAATTACATATAACAAAATCATTCAATAATTTTAAATCAAAACTGCTATGATATTCTAAGGAAGACAATTACAGCTATAAATGGACTAAAATTATAGGTTTTCAAAATATGGTTATAAGGCAGACATTGAGATGAATAAAGAAGTAGCCAACAGAAGATATTAGCTGTAGCATGGTATCTAATCTAGATTGGACAGAAAGTAAGTTCAAGGAGGCAGACACACTCAAGAAGATGTTGTTTATAACAGTAGAAATGTTTACAACAACCATCAGCATGATAGTCATGTGGAAATTTCTTATCTTTGTGTAGAGAGATAGAATTACAGTCTGTGTTTGCCTTTTATTACAAATTATACATACTCACCATAGAAAGTAGAGACATGTCAAAACAAAGGCAAAAATACCACCTATAAACATCCATAGCCCATACTAAAATCAATACTGACATGTTTTTATGTCTTATTGAAGATCAATCAATAAAATTAGAAATTGTTTTATTGTATTTTAAAGGACAATAATAAAATCAAAGATGCTTTCAAATTTAAATAAATCCTGCCTCTATACCACCAATAAAGTCTGGCCTCCGTGTCACTGCTTTAATATTCTCTTTAGATGATGCATTTTCTACTTTGGTAACTTACACTGAACCTCTAAACCATCAGCTTGCCAGGAAATCGCTTCCATTGCTGAAAAACTTTATTTGTAAGAAGTCCTTTCCTGTGATGATTTTCTTCCTAATAACTATTTTCTTCCCCAAGAAGCTCAAGCCTCAGAATCCATTTCAAGTTTAAACATGACTAAATCCGGTGATTTCATCAGTCAAAATTTCTTTATCAATAATATTATCAATAAAATATCAAATACTATCATCTTTTATCAGTAATCTAAATATCCTGTGGTTCTCTTACAGCCTTGTAAAGATTGAATTGTGACAGTATTTTGATGAAAATGATGAATGTTTGAAGCATTATGTGGATGCAAAACATATTTTCTTCTCCACATTTAATATTTGAAAATGTGTAACTATTTACATCCCAGGTTCTTTTTCCAAGACCAGTTTTCTCCAGCAACTCTCAGAAATGATAACATCCAGCTCCGCTAGATCTATGCCAAGTCGTGACTGTCTCCTGTGAACGTGCTCCACAGAAGTAAACAGGTGAAGGGACTGAATAAACTTAAAATAAAGTAAGATTGTCTTGTCATTAAACTGCTACAGTGCATTACGACACATTTTTAGATGTAAGAGTTCTTATTTAAGACCAACATCTATGTCATTTATGAAGGACTTAATGAATTATACATAGCATTTCAGAAATGCCTCTGAAAAAGTATTTTTAAAGTAGCAAATGATCAAAAGGATATAGAATATATACCCACGATTTATTTCACCCTAATCAGGCAACTGATTGGGTATAAGAAACTGTCTCTTAAATCATGTGGTTTTGCTCTTCATTAGCTGGAGGAAAGAACTTGAATTATTACCTAAAACCAAGCTGAAGATTTATCTGTGACTTTAAGTTATTCATGTCTGTACTTACATTGTCTTTTCAGAGATAATGGAGAGCTATAATGAGTCCTGAAAATAAGAAACAGAAAATATAATGACCTGGCTGGTTATGCTTTATTTTAATTGGTCACTGTCTTTTTTTCAAGCAAGGTAACTAAGACAAATTATTGGTAACTTATCTGAAAATTTCATGGTTAGTTCTGAAACAATATTTAAAATGACTGTCCACAGGGTTGGACAGATGATTTTGTAAACTGTTAGCTTTCCTGTGCAAAGAAGGTAGGAATCAGAATCTGCTGGGGTTTCTTTTTAAAACTCTTTTCTTTCCTTTGATTTGAATACTTCATATGAAAAAAGGTAATCTCAAAAAGATAAGGAGGGCAGTCATCCAACTTCCTGGCTTTGTTTGCTATCTACCTTCAACAAGTCACTTTATTATTCTCTGACTCTGATTCTCCACCTGTGAAATATGAAAAATCTTACCCAGGAATCCCTTCTTTCTAGAACTACTGGACTGGTTAGAAGATATGTACTCTGCCCATTCAAAGACGTATGACAGTACCATCAGTTTTTAGCTGCCCACCTGAAGAAAGAGAATGGACTAGAGTTGTTAAGTCATAAGGACACGTCCTTTGAAGTCACTCTATAGTTAGCAGTAACCAAAACCCAAATGTGGTTTTGCTTCTCATTTCTTTTGTCAACTTCAGCTGATTTCAGGTTGATCCGTCCTGGAACTAAGACCACATTTCAGAATTCCTGGAATGCATCCAAGTAAGAAAAGAAAACAGCTAGTCTATTTGGTGATAAGAAATTTCAAAAACAAATTATCATCTCTTGTGATTTTGTAACAAAATGTGCCATAAATTGGCCGGAGACGGAGTAGCAAATAAAAGTAGGATACAAAAGAATAATAGTGGAAAAAAAAAATCTAAACAGAGCTCTCTGATTTCCGAAGCTCTAGAAGAACTGTCATTAAAATTGCCCCGGGCACGGGGGGGGGGGGCAGGGTAGATTAAGGGAAGGTCTGTTTTATAAAATGCACTGAAACTTTATTGTATTCGGAATCTTCTCTGCCAAGTAGGTGAGGTCTTGGAGGATTTTTCTTGGGCCCTTCCCCACTGAGGGGCCCAGTGCTTATCTCCATTGATGTGTAAAGATGCCAAGTTAGCACGCGTGAACCTTTATGAGGCTGCGTATGAATGATCTTCTTTGGCTACTGAATGACAGTAAGTCTCAGGCCAGGGGAGAGTGAAGACCAGAAAATAAGAAAACGGACATCGCTGTGCTCTGACAGAACACATCAAACCCGCTGAAACACAAGAGCCGGCCCCAAGTCAGTGTCCCGTGTTCTGTGGACGCCGAGAAGTCTGATCTGCATTACAACCCTCTGTATTCAATAAGTAGAAATAAGGGCAATCATGACTGAACAGAAGACAAACCCAAGCAGTGACTGTTTTGCCTTGAATTCATTCAAGATTTTATTAGCTAAACTCTCACTTGGGTTAAGAGGCTCAACTTGCTTTTAATTTTACTGGTCTCAGTGATTCACAACAAAAGGAACCTGGGGCGTGTGCGTGCCTGTGTGTGTGTGTGTGTGTGTGTGTGTGTGTGTGTGTGTGTGTGATATCACAAACAGGTTTTCTGCATTCTTCACATTACAAGCCCGTCTACAAAAGAAGGAAGAAGATCTGAAGGGAATGTGGGTTTTGCGGGTTTAGGAAATGGAGAATTTCTCTACATAAACAAGAAGGTTTGGACTGGAAGTCTGCTACAAAAAAAAAAAAAAAAAAATGTTAAGAGCTGACCACAAGGTTGTAAATCCACAGACTGCAAGGAGGCAAAGAGAAACATTGCAAGAGACTGGTGTGTGTGTGGCTGCAATGTTTGTGAGTGAGATGAGAAACAAGCGCGGAGTGAACCAGGGAAGGGGGGGAGGCTGGTGTGATTTGTTTGGTGTTCGGAGCCAATAGAAATCCCAGCCCGGGATAACATCCCCGCGCAGCGCGGCGGGCCGAGCCAGAGCGTCTCCGGGCTGCGCTCCCCCTGCAGGCCGGCCAGGCTGGGCCCGCGCCTCCGCGCCTCCGCGCCGCGCGCTTCTCCTATGGGCGTTTGCTGGCGCCCGTCTGCGGTGCCACGGAGCGCGGCCGCGGGGACCCCACGTGGAGCCCGCTGTGGACTGTACCACCCCGAGGAGCGGGAGCAGGGCAGAGCGGGGATCCGAGGAGGAGGCGGCGGCTCCATCACGTCCCTGCAGGTACGAGGCTTGTCACCACCACGCTGGCACAGAACCGGTTTCTGATCGCTGCCTTCCCGGGCGGTTCCGGGGCGAACTGACATTGTTCCCGGCTGGTCCGGGTGGGAAGGGCTCGCCGGGTTCTCCTCGGGGGGTTATACCTGCTGCCGTGTGTCCTGGGGGCCGCGAGGTCTATGCACTTACTGGATTATGCGTGGGTGGAAAGCAAGGACCTTTAAACTTGACTGTGTGTTCTTTCCAATAACGCCAGTACCTGCGTGTTGACATGGGAGCTAGATACCTCCCGCTGACTTCAGTCAATCCTGGAAATCCATAGCAAACCCGCCCCACCTGATGGTTAAAAGCAGGCTTCCAACACTTAGCACCCACCGAACAGGGCAAGGCTGTCCTTCAGGGGCGCAGCTACTGCGGACTTGGGCATGTTTTGATTTTTAAGGCGTAAGGCCACCGTGGGCGGATATCACTGGGTCACTGCTGTGGTGGAAGGCGGACAAGGGGCGAGGGACATAGACAGATTTCAACGTGACTGTAGGCGATTTTCCCTGTGGACTTTATTTTTCCCCCTTTTATGAGTTAGCAATGCATTTTCATTGTTCATCCCCAGACAAGATGGGTTTTCAAGCTCTCATACACTACTCTGTTAAAAAGTTACAGACTGGAGAACTATATAGTAAATTTGATGCTTGTAGAGAAATGTCAGTTTTTAGTTTGCTTTTGTTAAACTGGTAGAGTTCTGCCTGTTTCTGTATTTTTTTTATTCTTGAGGTGAAGGCTTTGTTAACTTTTTTTTTTTAAGAAAGAAAAGCAAATCTGTTTTCCATGGGATTTCACCATGTTCAATTCATAATTTTGAAGACAGTTATGTAATGTTTATCCCCTAATAATTACTTGTGATTAAATTAATATTGCTTAATGAGTTTGATCTTTCCCTTGGAAAAGCCAGAGGAGACTGACTAAAACTCAGTTAAAAGATTAGTCTCGCTTTGGGCAGTCCCTATGCCGTGGTATTCAATTGCTCTGAATTCCTATAAAGGGTGCTTTTTCTGCAGTGGCGACAGTGCTTGGATTGGGATTCTAGCTCCACACGAGAACTGCCCCACAGCAGGTGCAACCGAATCAAGCATAGTATCTTCATTCTAAGTAACACTGTTCTCAGTGGGTCAAACCCACACCATTCATTGGTTCACAGTCAACTTGCCATTCAATAGTACTAGATTTTTTGGAGCAATTTTGTACCTGGCCAAGGAAGATAAGGTATCACAGTGGAGGATTTATGTTGACTGTTTTTTGGGGGGCAGGTTAATATGTTCTTTTGTCATTAAAGGAAATGCAAAAAAAAAAAAAGTAAAAATAGCAACTATGTGGAATCATGAAAATGTCATTTTTTGCCTGTTCACAAGTGTGAACTATTTAGCAGAGAATTTTAAAACCTTGTCTCAAAGAAGTTCAACCTTTGCGAAGAAGAGACATGGCAAGCATAATATTATATTTAGGAGAGAGTGTTTCAATTTTATAAATGAATGTTTTTACAGCAGAAAGGAAGCTGCTTGCAATGCATTTACCTATTCAAATAAATAAAAAATCAGTTGGCCCTACTCAATTTTACTAGTAGTAATGAGGGTATTACTATGAGTTATGTATATTATGTAATATATGTATTATTATGAGTAGTTGCCAATCTTCTGTAAATATCTGAAGTATATTAGAATTCATTTCTCTCTTACCATCCAAACTCTGAAGCAATGTTGGTACTAGCTGTAAGGCTATTCACTTTGTATACACTATCAAACACAGAGGGCTTTTCAAGGGTAAATATAATTGTACATTGTGTTGTGATATCATTCTTCATTGACAGAAGTAGGTTCATCCTCTGCAAATCTTCATATTTGGTAGAGCCGTAGGGCTATATATTTGGCAAAGTTTCAATAAGGTACAGGCCTTGAAATCTTTCTAAGGCAAATAACTCTTCCTTAGCCTTCTTCTAAGGAAAAGAAATGGTAGGACCTTGAGTCTGGGGCCTGAGTTCTTACCCATGAGGCAAAGACTGGTCTTCCTGGGTCAAGGGCAGACACTGAGAGATTGCCGAAGGGCAGGCACACAGCAGATTAGGCCAGTCACATTTGTACTCCAGCATTCGTGCCAGGTTAGAGACATGATCTCAGAACTAGTGCCCTATAAGGATTTAGGTGAAGATGGAGTGAGTTATATCAACCATGAAAAGTGTGCCCCATATTGAGCTTAAGTCCCCAAAGTAGTAACAAAGACAATCTGTTCAGAGGAAAAGATGCACAACTGTAAATTACACCTATGGTGTCAACTGCTTCTTCGATTAGCTGCTTCTCTTCCTACCATATAATTCCCTTGCCTTTGTGACTAGGACAATTCATTTCAATCAGGCTAAGATAAAGTCTTCAGATCCTTGGTCTCAGCAATGAGGCACAACTTCAGCATAACTCCTGTCGCCACCGTTTCTAGAAGGGAAGATATCTTTGGTTGGTCAGCACATTGTTAAGACCCAGCCCTTGGTGGAGCACTGGTCTGTACAGATGTTTCCTGGAACCATGGGGACTTTATAGAAGGTGGGCGAACAGAGATCTGAAGTGGGATGGTATTATGATGGATGAGTATCCATAAATCCTGGAGCCAAAAGAGTAATGAATTGACTCGCTCAAATTAGCTTCAATTGCAAACTTTTGTTGAGAGGGCCCAGGATGTTTTAAATACGTTCCTCTGTGTTCACAGGTACATCGCACAGAGGTGTGGGATTAAAATAAATGCCTTTGCTGTGAAGTCACGCTCCTGCACATTTAGGCCAGCAGAGGGCAGCATGCAGACTCTGAAAAAGTGATGCCTTCTTGACCATGAGGCCACTCCAATCTTCAAAGGACTCACCCTGTGTGCAACCTTCTTCCTGTGCAAAGCAGAGTCTAGGGTCTTAAAAAGGGATGCACTATCCAGAAGGATTTATCTCTAGGGTTTTTTTTTCCTGGCAAAATAAGGAAAACAGTAGCCTTTTAAAATACTGATGAAATCTATCCCCCCCCCCCTGCTTTTAAAATGAGCTTCACTGAATCTATCCAAGCAGTCTTCATCTTTGTTAGGAGATGGATGAGAGAAAGGGAAACAGAATACAGGGAAAAGAAGCGAAGAACTAATGGGATTTCTTGGTTGGTTCTCCAGGGGAAATGTTTATGCTCTACTTTGGCAGTAACATTGCCTTTAAGCATGTCTCAAATGCAAGTTTACGGACACAAGAATACATTTTATTTACTCACAATTATGCCTTCAGAATCCTAGCAAACTGGATTTCAAAAGAGCAGGACTAACATAGCTTCTCCTTGTGGTATCTGGAGTCTGAGATGTGCTAAAAAATAAGAATAACAGATCTAACTGTAGGAGCTCATAGATGAGCAAACCTAACCCATCCTAAATCCAGTCCACCTCTCTTATAACTCATGACTAACAGGCTTTTTGTAACATTGTTACCTTCAGAAATGAGTACCTTCTGAAGCACAAACTATAGTGTTCACAGAAATCCTCACAGTGGCAGTGATCACTTCTGAGAGGGTCATCCTCCTTTTCCAGGGTTAGAGATGCTCACTTCAGGAGCTCGCTGGTCCCTGCTGTCTTTATTTCCACAGCCTCACTTCACACCTTTGAGTGTGAGGGCCCTTGGGGAATACTCGGAGCTGGGTTCTGGAATCCACATCAGAGAGACCCAGAGCAACAGCTTTCTTGGTGGAGGGGGAACTGAGCTTACATCCAAGACAAGAGAAGGCAAAAGGACATTGGATTGCAAGTGGTCACTGAGGGGAGAAGCGGACCCAAAAGACAGCGTCAAGAAAGAGTCCTTCTGAGGCTTATGGGATAGTGGATTCCAGAACTCTCAGGGAGCTGCCCCAAGGGTCAGCAGCTTGTCTGCACGAATGAGGCCTTGACAGCTCTGATCTCTACTTTCTCTACTGCTACTGGACTCTGCTGGGAGGTGTACTGTCCTTGAATCAAAGAAAAGGTTTTTTTCCCCCAGGACAAAGTCAAGATTCTTTGGTGTCTGGCAGGAAAGGGAGGCCAGTGTGTCCTCCTTATTTTTAGCCAGATTAGCCTCCTCTGCCCTCCCTTTACTATCTAGAACTGTGCAGGCCCCAGTGCTGGGAAAGATGGGGTGAATGTGAGCGATTCACCCAAGGTCACATAGAACCAGCATGTGCTGTCATTGCCAGATTTTAGCAAGTAAGAGAGAAATAAGTCTTAGAGGCTGGGGCGGGGGGAGTTTATACAATGTGTCACCTAAAGTATAAGACCGTGCATCTCCATTGCCAGTTTTCAGTTTTTAGTGTACTTCTCAACTCTTTTCCCATAATCAGAGAAACTGCAGGTTCTAGCTCCTTTATTTTTTTAAGATTACTTTCCAATTAAAAAAATCTTCTATGTGAAGGAGAAACCCCTTGGAAGGTATGTCACTGATGGAGAATAAAGCAGGGTAATTAGATCATCGTGTTCTGGTGGCTACAATAATCTTCAGAAGAATATAAATCTAAGGGCGTGTTTCACTCAGAAGCCATTTCTGAATTATGAAGGCAAGAGCATTAGAAACAAAGCAAATAAATGACTTCTGGAAAAGTTCTCTTGATGGGGAGTTTAAGAGGACATGAGGCTAAGAACACAAACATTCTCAAAAATGACTTTCATGATATGGATTCGTAAGAGTTCCAAACTAAAATTCTCCTACAACTTATTTAAACAATGAAACAAGGAGAGGAAGGCAGTGTGCTGCACCGGGGAATGCTTGGCTAGCTCAGGAGAAACGCTTAGTTGGCTTTGTCTAGTAAAAACATTGTCTGCATTAAAAATATTATTCAATCTGGCTGTACAGCTGGGGCTGCAAGGGCCGAGAGGAAGCTAATCTTATCATCCGTGGAACACTAGCTGTGGCTCTCTGCTTGAATGCAATTATAACGTGAACACTGGTTAATGTGCTATATTTTCTAATTATAATAGCC